GCAGGCCCATAGAGAAGAGACAAGATTTGGCAAGGTTGTACATTTACTTTTTATAATAATATTTTATTTTTACCTTTTTATTTACTATTGGTTTTTATTCACGACACAACCTTCCTCTCCTTTTGCTCTAGTGACACTAATCTTTAAACAAACATAACCCCTTAAAGGAATCCCATAGTGCCAGGAAAACAAACCCATTTTCCTGGCACTATAGGGTGAATAGGTCCCCCCCTCCCATGAGGCCCCCCTTCCGCTTGGCTGAAGGGGAGAAAACCCCTTCAGCAACTTGCCTTAATCCGGTGCTGCACTTCCTCAGCGCTGGTGACCTCTCTTCCCCGTGCCGACATCAGCTCCAGAGTGGAGCCGAATGTGCATGTACGACCAGAGGCACGCGGGTGCATTCAAACCCGCCCATAGGAACGCATTACTCAGTGCTTTCCCATGGGGACCTGAAATGACACTGGACTCCATGAGAATGTCCAGCGTCATTTCAGTGTGATTTTCTCAGGGAGACAGCCACTAGAGGTTGGATTAACCCTTCAATGAAAACATGTTTTCAGCTGCAGGGTTAAAACTAGGGGGACTTGGCACTCAGACCACTTCATTGAGCTGAAGTGGTCTGGGTGCCTATAGTGGTCCTTTAAATTGAACCCAAATTTAACCCTACCCAAAACAAATCCTCCTTCTTACCCGCAATGGAATATGAAAAAGTTATTTTCAGTGCTAGGTTTCCTAGGTCTTTCCCTATTATGTCAGAGACTAGCAATACTTTGTTCTTCCTGTATTCTTCTCTTGTTTGTGGATAATCTTTACCTTTATGTGGATAATCTGAGTTATTCTGACTGAAAGTCAGTCTCCCTCTCTTAATTTCTAGTGAGGAGGAGTGATGTCTTTTAAAATTTTCTCGCATTACTAAGGTCCAATGGGAATTCCATTTTTATTAGTTTCCAATTGTTAGAATTGGTATCCCTCTTGTTTTTTCTATATTCAAACTCTTGAGGCCTATCTTGAAAGTCCAATTCCTCTTTTATAATCATTTAGATCCCTTTAGTATTTCCTTTTATTTTGTCTCCATCACCTCAACCTCTATCTTTTCCAAGTTTTTTTCGAACTTCTCCAAAAAAGTGGATACTTCTTGTTACCTTGTTATTTCATTATTTATGTAATAATTTTCTTGCAGATTATTCAACTCACTCATATCTTCATTTCTTTGTTTAATTGTCAGATTTATTCTTATAGACCTCTCTGTTGCCTTTGACATTCTGGATCATGTCCTCCTTCTTCAAACTCTTCAATCCCTTGGCCTCTGTGACACTGTCTTCTCGTGGTTCTTGTCCTATCTCTCCCAATATTCATTTAGTGTATCCTTTTCTAAAATCTAAGGAGAGAAAAATAAGTAGCAAGAGAGGTGAGAACAGACAACAGCTCAATTAGCCTGCCCTTCGGTGGGTCCCCGCTCAGATCTCAAGTTGGTTTTAGCTCAACTTGTGCAATTACTGGTTTTAGCTCAACTTGTGCCTTTTCTGAAATCTCGGATGGATTCCCCCAAGGTTCTGATTTTGTTCCTCTTTTTTTTCTTTTGATACTGCCTCATGGCAAACATATTCATTTCTTTGGATTAATCCACTACTTGTATGCTGATGGCACCCAGATATATCTCTCCTCCCCGATCTCTACCCAGCACTAGAATGCATCACCAGTTACCTTTCTTCCATGTCTGAATGGATGTCCTCCCCCTTTCGGAAACTCAATCCCTCTAAAACTGTCTTCTTATTTTTTTCTCCTTATAATACTAATGCTCCTGTTTCTGGTACATGCATCAGACCATTTTTTGCAAGCTCACTGCAGGCCTCACCGTTGCATCTTATATCCAGTCTGTTGCCAAATCCTGCCATTTCCACCTTAAAAACATTGCCTACCTTTGCCCCATTCTTACACAAGATGCTGCCTATGGAACTTGTTTATGCCCTAGTAATCTCTCATTGATTATTGTAATTTTCTCCTAATTAGTTTCCCAAGTGTACTGCCTTGCTACAGTTCATAATGATTGCTGTTGCCAGGCGGATTTTTCTCTATGCTGACACCTTGCCCCTCTGTGAATCCTTACAAATGCTTCCTGTGTCCAATAGGAGTCAATTCAAAATACTAATCCTTACCTATAAACCTCTAAACAACTCTAGCCCCCACTACATTTCTTCACTAATTTGTAGGTTTGCCCTTTCTCTATCTCTCCGCTCTGCTGGTGACCTTCTCTTGTGGAAAGGTGGAGGATACCACACTCACTAGGCAACTAAGGTGCACCGGATCCGAGGATGGCCACACCCCACTTCTAGATATGTAAAATAAAATAGTGGTCCAGGCACTCAAGGTAATAGCCAAGATAGCAGCTTTATTGGTACAAATACAGCAACCACAGCAAATACAGGTGACTTTCTCTTGTCCGCTGCTCGCACCCTTACTGCTAACTTGCTCTTGCAAAGTTTTTTGAGGGTGGCTCTGTTCCTTTGGATCAGCCTGCCTACTACCATCAGACTCTACCCTAGTCTTCAATCATTTAGGAAGTCTCTCAAAACATACCTCTTCAGAAAACCTTATGGCCTCCAAGAATAACTTCTATTTCACAAACTGTCTCTTGCTCTATCTTAAAAGGTGACACTCCACTGTTACCTTCCAGTTCTGCTACTTTTCCACTTTGTCGCTTGGTTGCTATCCCTTCTTCTGCTCTTACTATAGTCCTTTTTATACCCCACCTTCTCTTCAGCCTATTCTTACTGTAACAGTTTCTCATTGTCATTGTTACAATTCTCCCTTTCCAATATTGTAAAGCGCTGCGGAATAGATTGGTGCTATATAAATGCCAAAAATATTTGCATGCAAAGAGAAATCTTCTAACATTGGTTTCCATTAATACAGAAAAAAGTACCGGTAATTGTCTCTATCACATGTAGAAGTCTTGAGAAATCTTAATCCTTGAGGAATCACTTTCATCTGGAATCACTGGACGCTCACTGTTTAGTGGGAAAAAAATACCGGCCATTCTAATTTGCATAATTAATTATATATGCGTGACATCACAGGGCACAACGTACATACAAGTATGAGAACATTTGGAAGGAGAAAATTCCTTAAATCAATAATAAACTACTTACAATGTTTGTACTTTGTCTGACTGTGTGTATAGCATTGTAAATGTGAGTCAGTGTGTGTATGTACTGTCTGTATGAGTGTGCATGTGTAGTAGTGTGTATAGTAGAG